ATCAGAAGAAGCGGCTTAGTCATGCTGGCCACATGACCCGGAAGCTGTCTGCAGACAAACGCTGGCTCCCTCAGCCTATAGAGCAAGATGAGCGCATAACCCCAGAGTCATCCACGACTGGACCTAATGGTCAGGGGTCCCTTTACCTTTTTAGTCTGCCTTCCTAGCTGCAGAGGTGAAGGGCTGTGGGGAAGAATCTTCAGAAAATACTCAAAAACACATTTGCTTATAATGCTACCGCCCAAAGGCAAGGGCCCATAATTTAATAAATTTAATAAATAATAATAAAATATATCTGTGGCCTGTTATACTGAGTTGGGCAGGTTTCGGTTTGTTATTATGACATGTATTTTGTGTTTTCATATTGTAAACCATCCTGTGATCTTTGGTTGGATATGCATACCCTCCGACATTTCTCAGATGAAAAGCGACGTCCTATTCCATAATAATAATACAGTGGTACCTCGGGTTAAGAACTTAATTCGTTCTGGAGGTCCGTTCTTAACCTGAAACTGTTCTTAACCTGAGGTACCACTTTAGCTAATGGGGCCTCCCACTGCCGCCGCACGATTTCTGTTCTCATCCTGAAGCAAAGTACTTAAGCTGAGGTACTATTTCTGGGTTAGCGGAGTCTGTAACCTGAAGCGTATGTAACTCGAGGTACCACTGTAATAAAAATTTATACCCCACCCATCTGACTGGGTTGCTACAGCCACCCTGGCCATCTTCCAACCTATATAAAAACATAACAAAACATCAAACATATAATACCTTCCCTATACAGGGAAGTGATGAAGACAGGATCTTTGTATTACTGTGTTTCCTGAAGTGGGACTATTGCCCTTTGTTCTTTTTCTCTTTGCTGTCTGATGCTAGAGAGAGAGAGAGAGAGAGCCATGTTGCAGTGCTCCGTGTGTGTTTATATGTAAATAAAGTAGATTAGCCAAATGCTGAGTTGCTGTCACGTGAACGGTGAAGACTCTGCGGATCCCTAAGTGTGCCGGTGTCGGTTGGCATTGGTCGCTGTGACTTTCAGGCTGAAGAAAGCTTTTGAAGCTCCTGAACGATTGACCAGGAGGGAGAGAACATGCCAGTCGGGCATGTGTCTCTGCCAGGGTCCTACTTGAGTGTAGGACGAGCTCCTGGCAGGTCCCTGCCTCCCCACAGCTGCCGAGGTTCCTTCCTCTCCAGGGTTTATCCCAAGCAATCGGAGACTGTGCCTGCATGAAGCCAACCTCTCCTCTGCCCTTTTTATGCCTCTTCTGGTCCGGGAGACCAGGGGAGATGGGAGCTTGTCACAGTAACAGACAGAGACCCCCATGATTCTTCACCAGCCTGACTTCTGTATGCCTCTCAGCTTCCCTCCTCTCCTCCTTCTGCTTCTGCCTCTGATTCTCAACTGCTCTCTGCCACAGACTCTCCCAGCTCACTTAGCCCTGTTACCCGCTTCCGACACTGCTTCTCCCTCGGACCACAACTCCCCAGGATCTGAGCCTTCTTCCTTTGCGGGTTCCCTAGCTGGTTCCTCCCACCGTTCCTCTGCGTCCAACCGGTGCGTAGCAGCGAGGCATGCCGGGAATTTAAAAGTGTTGGAAAAACAAAACTATCTGCATGGGGACAGGAACACCCCTACCATCCCCCCCTTCCTTCTCCACGTATCCCAGTAGGAATAGCTCTTTGGCACTAGATTTTTTTTTTAAGCAGTTATTTGCGACCATAATGCATCCGGCTGCACTTAGAGTGCTTTTAAAGAGGGTGATTAGCAGCAAACGCTGCACTTCCTTAATGATCACCATTACAAAGCACTGAAAGGAAGCCAGTTCTGGCAGACATCTAGGCTTGACTCTGCTGGGACATGGCCCCCTTTTTGACTTCTATGGGGCAGGTTAAGTTGAGAAGTCAAAGCTGTTCCCAGGGTGTGGCCGCTGTCATATGCTGACAGCTTCCAGGAGCCGCAGGTGAGAGCTGAGTACAGGGCAGGGACCAAAGGTGGACAAAGTACACCTGAAGGAGCGTCTCCACCCCCATCGTTCTGCCCGGACACTGAGGTCCAGCGCTGAGGGCCTTCTGGCGGTCCCCTCACTGCGAGAAGCCAAGTTATAGGGAACCAGGCAGGGGGCCTTCTTGGTAGTGGCGCCCGCCATGTGGAACACCCTCCCACCAGATGTCAAAGAGAACAACAACTACCAGACTTTTAGAAGGCATCTGAAGGCAGCCCTGTTTAGAGAAGCTTTTAATGTTTGATGTATTACGGTATTTTAATATTTTGTTGGAAGCCACCCAGAGTGGCTGGGGAAACCCAGCCAGATGTAAGGGTAAAGATCCATTAAGTCCAGTCGTGACTGACTCTGGGGTTGTGGCGCTCATCTCGCTTTACTGGCCGAGGGAGCCGGCGTACAGCTTCCGGGTCATGTGACTAAGCCGCTTCTGGCGAACCAGAGCAGCGCACGGAAACGCCGTTTACCTTCCCGCTGGAGTGGTACCTATTTATCTACTTGCACTTTGACGTGCTTTCGAACTGCTAGGTTGGCAGGAGCAGCGACCAAGCAATGGGAGCTCACTCCGTCGTGGGGATTCGAACCGCCGACCTTCTGATCGGCAAGTCCTAGGCTCTGTGGTTTAACCCACAGCTCCACTCGTGTCCCAGCCAGATGGGCGGGGTATAAATAATAATAATAATAATAATAATAATAATAATAATAATAATAATAATAATATAAAGCTCCCCAGAAGGAGCAGGATGTGTCCTCCACCAAGGGACTACCCCTCCCCTAGCACTCCACCCCAGGAACCTGAGTACTACCAAGATATCGGTAGCCATTTTTAAAGATCTCTCCTCTAGCTAGCTGTTTTGCCCACCTTTCTGAGAGCCGAAGCAGACCCCCCAACCCAACCGATGCTAGAACAGTTACTCGTTCAGAGAGGCACTGGGCAGTTTCTTCTGAGGGCTGGCAATTCTGCACTGCGTACTCTGACCGCGCCCAGCGTCATGAGCAACGCATTAAAACTACCCACCTCCTCCTGGCAGAAGAGGAAGAGGTCAACCAGAGCAGCGACTCAGGCAGAGACACAGCGGGCAGCCTCCTTTGAGATACAGGTGCCCTCGGCAGTCTACCATTACCATTTGAAGCAGAGCGATTGGAGAGCAGAGCACCAACCATCATGTTTCCTATACCTATTGTTGTTGTTTAGTCGTTTAGTCGTGTCCGACTCTTTGTGACCCCCTGGACCAGAGCACGCCAGGCACTCCTGTCTTCCACTGCCTCCCGCAGTTTGGTCAAACTCATGCTGGTAGCTTCGAGAACACTGTCCAACCATCCCGTCCTCTGTTGTCCCCTTCTCCTTGTGCCCTCAATCTTTCCCAACATCAGGATCTTCTCCAGGGAGTCTTCTCTTCTCATGAGGTGGCCAAAGTATTGGAGCCTCAGCTTCAGGATCTGTCCTTCCAGTGAGCACTCAGGGCTGATTTCCTTCAGAATGGAGAGGTTGGATCTTCTTGCAGTCCATGGGACTTTCAAGAGTCTCCTCCAGCACCATAATCCAAAAGCATCCATTCTTCGGCCATCAGCTTTCTTTATGGTCCAGCTCTCACTTCCATACATCACTACTGGGGAAAGCATAGCTTTAACTATACGGACCTTTGTTGGCAAGGTGATGTCTCTGCTTTTTAAGATGTTGTCTAGGCAGTGTCTTGTTTTCCCCACCAAGAGCAGTCTTTGAGTGCTAATGACAGCAAAAGGGGTTGTGAATTTTCAGCTAATGCTCTAAATTAATCCCAATCAAAAAAGAAGGGTAACATTTTCTGCGGGGGCCGAAGGCCTGCAGAGCGAGCACAATATATAGGATAATTAAATATTTTTAGGCTCGCCCAGCTCTCATGATTAGTTGCGTTAATTAGAACCGTTCCCTCCCCCTCCTCCTTCGCTCAACGCTTGGGGGAAGAACGGCGCCCCCCGGTGGCCGAAGGAGGAAAGAAGCGATGACGCCGCCGACCGGGAACCAAGCGCGTGTGCTGCTCTTTTCTTTCTGCAAATGTTTTGAGAATTTCTCTCTCTCTGCATCATTACGGCATCTCTGTCTTGGGAGTGGCATCTCCCCCCCTTTTTAAAAACACTCCACCTCCACCCAAATTCGGTACTAGGGAAAAGGGGGGGGAAACCTACTTTGCATCTTAATTTCTCATTTCTTGGGGGAAAAGGAAGCACGTTGAGAGAGAGAGAGAGAGAGCACTTATTTCGGGGGGGGGCGGTAAAACAACAGGATTTTTTTTTTATTTTTAAAGTGGGGTTTAGCAATAAACCCCCACAAATGCTGGAGAGGAAGAAACTGATCTGCGTTTGCCCGTCAAAGCAACTGCATTTTTTCTTTTCCCCACGTGGTGGCCCCGAAGAGGGAGATACTGGGGGCAAAAAGACGGAAAGGAAAGGACCCTGCAAGTTTCCCCCCTTCTTCTTTCCATGATCAAGCGGAAAAAAGAGGGGGGGCATGGCTTTTTTTGGGGGGGGGTCGCGGTTCTGCACCTTGGACGGAAGCCTCTGCGGGATAATTCCTAAATAGGGGCTGTCGAAGAAGCCTCATATCCGGGATTCATCGAGGCGGATGGAGTTTTTTTTTTGGGGGGGGGGTCGCGCGGAGAGATAGGAGCAACTCATCAGCGCCCCCCCCATAAAATATTTGAGGGTCCGCCTCCCCCATTGATTGAGATTGCCATTTAAAACAGTGCGTTTGTGATCAATTGCTTGGGGTCCCCCATTGATGGACATTGCCATTCAAAACATTGCCAAGTTGGAATAAAATATTGGCATCCCGGGGGGGGGGAGCTAAACCCGCTCCCCCGGTTGCGCATCAGCCAAAGGGACCCTCCGGACGCGCCGGCGAGGCTGCTCTGGGGGACGCCTGCTCCAGGGCGCCGCCTGCTGGCGACGGGAGGGTAGGAGCGCCGCGAGGGGGCCGGCGGCGAGACGGGGGCTCGGGAGGGCGGAGCAGGGGGTGCGGCATCGGGAGCCGGGGAGCCGCGGCAGGAGCCTGTCTGCCAGCGCGGAGAGGCGGGCGGAGGCGGCGGCGATGTTGCTCCTGCTCTTTTCCCGGCGCGGGGACTGAGAGGCGGCCCGCGCCGTCTTGCCTCGGAAGGCGCCATGGAGAGCCAGCTGGCCCGCTGCAAGATCGTGGTGGTGGGCGACAGCCAGTGCGGCAAGACGGCGCTGCTCCACGTCTTCGCCAAGGACACCTACCCCGAGGTACGGGGCGGCGGGGGGGAGACAGCCTCTCGCAGAGGGAGCCCCATCCGACGGGGCGGGGAAGCCGGAAGGGAAGGAAGGGACCCCCGACGGTCGCGGTGGGTGGGTGGGTATTGTGGGTGGGGGGCTCGGGAGATGCAGCCGGAGAGCGGCGTCCAGGCAAGCCGAGCAGGGCTGCCGGTTGGCCAGCGGGGTCTCCGGTTCCTCCGACGGGGCGGCCGGCCGGTCTCAGGACGTCGAAGGGGGTTAGCGCCCGCTTTGCGCCTTGCGGGAGGTCCCAGGTCTTGGATCCCCGACGGCAGCGTCGTCCCGAGAGGGCGGAGAGCCCGTGTTTTTAGACGGTGCCCACTGGGTAGGGTGTCCCCTCGGATGTGGCCGGAGACTGCGGGATTTTGGGGGGGGGGTCTTAGGAAGGGATACGGCTGGTGTCACCTGTTGGGAGAGCCAGGGGCGAGATGAGAGCAGGAAGAGGCAAAACACACAAAACTGAAATATTCTGGAAGGGGAGGGTCAAATTGCAAGGGTTTGAGTGTGTCATGTGGGGTGTAAAATAGGGTTTTTTTTGGGGGGGGGCTGAAGGGACCTAGAAGGGACTCTCCGCACAGGGGGGGGCGGTTCAAGGCGCTTCCCCCTTTCTGCCAGAATCGATTCCTTCATCTTCCAAGGTGCCACAAAAATCTTCTTTTTCGGTTAGACTGACTTAGCAGGTTAGGTTAGAGAGTTTGGGTGTCTGGGTGGGTGGGGGGACAATTTTGAGAGGGGTGAAGAAGATGGAGGAGGTTCAAGTGAGCAGTCGGGTTCAGGAAAAGCTGGGAGGGAGATTTAGGGTTCTGTAGGGAAACTATGGAACTGAGGAACCGCTGGAACATCAGGCGGAATGCCTGAAACCCGGAACAACCTGCCTGCCTGCCTCCCTTTGTGGGGCGGCTGGATTTAGGGCAGAGCATCTGGTTCCCTCTAGCTGAGGGCCATAATAATAATAATAATAATAATAATAATAATAATAATATACAGGTAGCTACTAAGTAGCTACGTAAGAAAGCAACTCTACCAAAATGAATTATTGTGAAAATAAGAAATATTCTTTGGGGGGGAGTGCACCAAATTTTGTCCTTGCATAAAATCGGCCTCTGCTGGGACTGAGGGTTGCAGAACTCAATAAAAGACCTAGAGCCTCTTCTCAGTGCCTTGGCTGAGTCCGGAGACAGAACTTCCTCTAAGCAACCAGGGAGGACCTCTCTTTTGCTTTTACTGGAACATGGCCAGGATCCCACACGAACCACAAATTAGGACGAAAGGACTTCAAGGCAGAGGCGTGCACCGTAAATGTTTGCTTTCAGAAACGGAGCGTTGCTTTGGGGTTTTGAGGTCCGGCTGCGAGTGTGTCAGGGGCTGAGATGTGCGAGTTCTGGGTTGGGGTGCTAGCAGGGGGGGGGGTGTTTCTCCCAGTCGGCGGCATGGCATGAAATTCTGTGGTTTCATGCGTTCTGTTGTCTCCGCTGTCCCCCCCCCTTGCAGAACTATGTCCCCACGGTGTTTGAGAACTACACGGCCAGTTTCGAGATCGAAAAGCAGCGCATCGAACTCAACATGTGGGACACATCAGGTGAGTGAGGAGCAGAAACTTGGGTGGGGGCAGGGAGCGCTCTGGAACTGATAACTGGGGTGAATTTTGCCTGTCCCAGTTGAGGGTTTTTGCGACATATTCCTGTTTACCCAAATGAATGTGCCCTCTGAATGATTCCAGGAGTTTTAGCACCACTTCCATACAAGGGACAGTTTACCGTATTTTTCGCTCTATAAGACGCACCAGACCACAAGACGCACCTAGTTTTTGGAGGAGGAAAACAAGAAAAAAAATATTCTGAATCCCAGAAGCCAGAACAGCAAGAGGGATTGCTGCGCAGTGAAAGCAGCAATCCCTCTTGCTGTTCTGGCTTCTGGGATAGCTGCGCAGCCTGCATTCGCTCCATAAGACGCACACACATTTCCCCTTACTTTTTAGGAGGGAAAAAGTGAGTTTTATGGAGCAAAAAATACGGTATTTGTTTGTTTCCTTGTTTTCCTTGACCATTCCTAACCTTGCTTGGAAGAGCTTTCTTTCCTGGCTGCAGCTGCCTGGTTTCGAAGTTTTGTGCTTCGCGTGTGTTCAGGTGGATACTTTCCTCCCTTATAGTTTTAACTTGGAGCATTAGTTTAACCAGTGTTTCCCAAACTTAGGTCTCCTGCTGTTTTTGGACTACAACTCCCATCATCCTTGCTAGCTAGGGATGATGGGAGTTGTAGTCCAAAAACAGCTGGAGACCCAAGTTTGGGAAACACTCTGAGTTAAACCACCATCAGGCTTTAATTCCCCCCCCCCTTCACTGACTTCCACAAAGGATTATCAGGTTCCCTTTTTCTCTTGGCTCCAGAAATTGCCGTTAACACTCGTGCAGTGTTTTCCAGCATTCTCCTTCCATGCGTTCTTGGGATTATTATAATTTTACCTCAAGGCTCAAGCCTGTGCTGTTCTCTGGAAAACCCTTTCCCTTAATCTCAAATGCGGTAAGGGGAATATCTCTCTTTCGTATGACTTCATATGTTTCGGCTAAGCACTGGTACTTGGATCCTGGTCTAGTAAAACCTAGTTACACATCAAGCCCTTTGTGGTGGGGAGCAGTTGTGATGAACTGGTGGTGAGAGAAAGACTCTTTGTACATGCTCAGAGTTTGCTTCTCCCAGAGCTGCGCATCAGCATTACAAGGAGGTTCTGCTGCTGAGACCTGCTTCAAATCCCATCTCGGATAAACCTTATATAAAATCCCCCCCCCCCAACTCTAACACCGCTCATAACCCTCTCTGGATGATGTGGGGCTGGCCTGCTTTACCTAGTTTTTTGAAAAGGTTATAGGGGGATAACATGATCTGGCTAAAATTGGGTGGGGGTGGAAATCATGATGTTGGAGCTTTCCAATTTCATTTAAGGACCCCTCCCTGCCTCCCCCCCACCCCACCTGCAGTAATTAAAGTACTGCCTTCCTATCCACTCTGCGGCCTCTTTATTTTTGGTGTCCTGTTTCCTGGTATCACCTGCCTAGGAGTACCTGTGAGAAGGTACAGAATGAATTCTGAGATTCAGGGTGAGGCCAAGAATGAATGAGGCACGAAAAGCTCCGGATCCGAGGGCAGACCTCGCCCTGGAAGGAATGTAAGGGGAGAAGGGCCCGTTTTTGTACTTTCTTTGCCTGCAAAGAGGGAACGTTTCGTTCTTGCCAGCATTTTAGAAGCAGCTGGATCCTGGAAGCGATTCTGGGGGTTGTCTGGCTCAGCCTGGCTGCCTTTTATGCCTTCTGCCTTTTATTTGTATCCCCTTCCCACCCCCAAAAAAAACCATTTCTTTGTGGTTTTTCCATATGCCAGAGAAGGGGGAATGTTGTGCTTCAGTCTTGATGCTACAGAGGAGGAACAGAAGAAGATGCAATGCTTTGGCCATGATGTGTAGAATAAATGTCCCCATTTTTGTTTTGTTTTGAGAGAAGGCTCATCCAAACTACCAGGGCTTCTTCTTTCCTCTGCCTCGACTCCAGCTTTTGCATTTATTAACTTCGCAGCCTCGCGATTGGCACGGCCAGAGCCTTCCCTTGGCATGGCACCTCTCGCCTGCTTTTGTCGAGTTGCGTAAAGGGCTCTCCTGTGTGCAGTGCAGCTGTGGCGAAATTGCCGGTGGCTCTTCGGGAGGCTGCAGAAAGGCTCTTCTGTCTGGGTAGAGAAAAGAGCGTCTCTTCCTTGGGCTGTGGGAGGAGGAAGCAAGCAAACAATCCTCCTGCTGTGGAAGGCAGGAGCGCGGTGCACAAAACGATCAGAAAGCTAACGCCACAGAGACGCAAGCGTTGTTTGGAGCTGGCAAACGTTCCGTGGCTAACAGGCGAGCGAGCTGCAGCCACAGACGCTGCAGTCTGGCCAAGTGAGGAGAGTCGCAGAAATGCTTCGTAATGGATCAGCTAAGCTCGTGGCAAACTGGCGGAGGGTTGGTCTATCAGTGTCCTATTAAGCTGTGTGTGCTAATGACCGAAAACTGCACTTGGAGATGAGAGGCTGTTTCTTTTGGCCAGATGTTAGGGATGGTGTCCACCATCGGCTTGGAAAGGCGTGGACAACCTGTGGCACACCGGACATCGATAGATTCCCAAGTCCTAGCCGGTAGGCTGGGATGTTGCTCCTAGCAACATGTGGCTGGCCCCAGGTTCCCCATCCCTCAGATATGAGCCAGGATAGAAAGGGCTTCTTAATGTCACAGGAGGGGTGGCACTGTGGTCCAAAAACACTGAGCCTCTTGGACTTGCTGATCAGAAGGTCAGCAGATTGAATCCCCACAGCAGAGTGAGCTCCCGTTGCTCTGTCCCAGCTCCTGCCAACCTAGCAGTTCGAAAGCACGCCAGCACAAGTAAATAAATAGGTGCCACTGCAGCGGGAAGGCAAACAGCGTTTCCGTGCACTCTGGCTTCTTTCACTGCATCCCCGTTGAGCCAGAAGTGGTTTAGTCATACTGGCCACATGACCTGGAAAGCTGTCTGTGGACAAACGCCAGCTCCCTCGGCCTGAAAGTGAGATGAGCGCCACAACCCCAGAGTCGCCTTTGACTGGACTTAACTGTCCAGGGGTCCTTTACCTTACTTCTGTAGGGGGATTTTTGCCTCTGAACACTGACTGACACCCCAGACCCTCCAAGTATCCCTATTTTCCAGGGACAGTCCCGGATTTACAGAAGCCGGCTCGGTTTCTGATTAGATCCTGGAATGTCCCACTTTTCCCTAGGACACCCCTGTTTTCATCAGAGAAATGTCGGAGGGTATGGAGTTATGCACCCCCCCCCGAGCCAAGGAGATAAGGAACTATACAACCTTTAGAAGACATCTGAAGGCAGCCCTGTATAAGGAAGTTTTTCAATGTTTAATGGTGTTTTTATACATGTTGGAAGCTGCCCAGAGTGGCTGGGACGCCCCAGTCAGATGGGCAGGGTATAAATAATAAAATTGTTGTTGTTGTGATTATTATAATCATGGAATAAAGGTAAAGGTAAAGGGACCCCTGACCGTTAGGTCCAGTTGCGAATGACTCTGGAGTTGCACACTTGCTTTACTGGCCAAGGGAGCCGACGTTTGTCCACAGTCAGCTTCCGGGTCATGTGGCCATCATGACTAAGCCACTTCTGGCAAACCAGAGCAGCGCACGGAAATGCCGTTTACCTTCCCGCCGGAGCGGTACCTATTTATCTCCTTGCACTTTGTTGTGCTTTCGAACTGCTAGGTTGGCAGGAGCAGGGACCGAGCAACAAGAGCTCACCCCATTACGGGGATTTGAACCGCCAACCTTCTGATTGGCAAGCCCTAGGCTCTTTGGTTTAGAACACGGTGACACCCACGTGCCAATCATGGAATAGGACGCCCCTATTTTCATCAGAGAAATGTTGTGGGGTATGACACGTGCGTTTGCCACATCCCAAAGGACTTTTGAAATTAGCCGTCCTGTTTCATATGCGCTTTGCCATGCAGCAAGGAAGGGATTATGCTGCTGGTGGGATAAATGAAGCCTCTCGTTCCACCCAGGGCTCAGACATTCCTTCTACAGTCCCTGAAATCCTGCTCCAGAATGGGTGGCTTTTCAGTCTGGTCCGGCAAAGCAGCTTTGAATGCTCTTGGCTAGCTTGGAGCAGAAACCCTTCGAGATTTGAGCACTTGGGTGGTGGTGCTCACATGCCCAAAGTAATTGATTAGGAACATTTCTGAGCACAGAAACTGTCTGCAAGGGAGAATAGGAGTTACAGCTGCTTAATTTATTGCATTGCAAGGGCTGCAAGTCTGGAGGGAGGGTGGCGAGAATGTAAAGGAACGTTAAGTCTTCCTGCTAAGAACACCAGTGGATGTTCTAATTCATGGGTGGGCAAACTAAGGCCCGGGGGCCGGATCCGGCCCAATCCGGCCTTCTGAATCCGGCCTGCGGACAGGCTGGGAATCAGCATGTTTTTACATGAGTAGAATGTGTCCTTTTATTTAAAATGCATCTCTGAGTTATTTGTCGGGCATAGGAATTCGTTCATTCCCCCCCCCAAAAAAATAGTCTGCCCCCCCAAGGTCTGAGGGACAGTGGACCGGCCCCCTGCTGAAAAAGTTTGCTGACCCCTGTTCTAATTCTCTGCCACTGTCTCTTGTTAGCTTTTTAAAAAAAGAAGGATTCTCTGTTACATCACTGCTTTTATCCTGAAACTATTTTAAAGCTAATAACAAGGAGGAAACAAGTGTAACAATTTAAATCCGGCACCTCTTGGAGTTAGTTTTTCAACCCTTCATTCCCAAATGCTTCCTTTGGGAAATGTGGTAAGTGTGTTTTTATTTCGAAGCGAGAAGTTCCGGTCTGTTTGGAAGTTGCAGCGAATCCATAATCCCCAATAACGCAGGGGTCAATTGCAGCTGCCTAGAGGCTTTCTCCTTTGTTAATGCTTAGGTTATTTCCGTCTTGAGTCCTGGAAACTGCAGTCAAGTTTCATGGCTCACCTCAAGCCTCCCTATTCGTTCCTTCTGAAAATCTTGTTCCAGAGGCAAAGCTGAAGACCGCGAATAGCCTACC